TTGTGTACATTAATTCGATAAATGATGGGTGGAAATACCGTTTTAATATTTTTAAATCTTTTCTTCTGCGATGCTTCAAATAAAGAAAAAAGGTTCTTTTTTTATTAAGGCAAGAGATAAGTAGAGTTAATACTCTAAATTTAAAAAATACCAAGTTTTTATATAATTTTAGTATTACAGTGATGTTTTATTATTTTTGCATAACTCAAGGTAACTTAATTTGTAGGTTAAAATAACAAATTTAAATTAAAAAAATGATTTAGCTAATAATTTTTTTAATAATAATTTTATAAATATATGGACAAAAGAAGAAAAAAAAAGTAAACACTAAGTTTTCAAAATTATAAAAATTATATATATATATATATATATATATATATATATATATATATATATATATATATATATATATATATATATATATATATATATATATATATATATATATATATACATATATATAAGAAATTCCTTTTTTTTTTTGTTGCTTTATATAAAGACTTTTTTTATTGATCAATAAATATTTTCTCAAAACTTTTAAAATGTGACAACGCTGATTTTTCCACTGAGGTCTTCATATATATATGCTCTCAAAATCTAGAAATGTTTATATATTTTACAAATAAAGTTTTAAACTGTCAAAGGTTTTTTAAAAAAATTCAATAATAATCAAAATTTTTTTGAAACAGAATAATGTAAATTATTCAAATCAATTTCATCTTTAAAAAGCTTGAAATAAATAAAATAAAATTTGAAGTCTTTATACAGGTATTGGTCACGCTCAGAAATTAATAATAAAATAAAATAATTTTTGAAATTATTACTTTCAATATGATGAAAAAAGGTTTTCAGCATCTGAAATAACAGAATATATTACAGTAAAATACAAGTTATAAAAAGTTATAAAAAGCGAAAAATTTAAAAATTCAAGAGCACGTTATTGTTTTGATCCTGTTTTTGCGAAGGAAGTTATCAAATAGTAATATACTGTAGGGCTATATATAGGGAATATTTGCATAATTAAGAAAATTAGGATACCAAAAAGTTACCGATGCATATCGATAGTAATTTATGACAATCAATACGAATCGATAATAATAAATAATACAGGATAACAATAAATGTTAGATGTATCATAAAAACATCAGGAAATATTTAAATTATAAACTATGTTTTTAAAAGAAAAAAAATGTTTTATTTAATAATATATCCCTTGCTGTTACCAATTCGATAAACATGAACTTTTTGTTTCAAGGAGATATAATATATAGATTCAACAGCTTTTTTTGTGCTTAGATAAGCAACTCTCAGAAAAACTTTTAAACCTGGTATGTTTTGACCTATATTGAATGAGAATCATTGATAACTTCTTCAAAGCTCCTATCATTAAGCTTTGAAGAAGTTCTCAATGATAGGAGCCAAAAAAAATTAACCAACACTCATGACAACACTAAATATTATTGCGTTTTATTTTAGATTTATATTTCATCAACTCCAAATTTTATCAAATAATATTTAATTGTTTGAAAGTTATGATCATATAAAGTGGCCACAATTCCCTGAAATGTAAATTCTAAACTTTACGTGCTCATAACCTTTGAACACTAAAATACTTTTTGTTTTTATTTCAAGCGAGAATATCTTAACTTACCCATAAAGCAATAATGTACAATATTTAAAACTTGCTTGTGTTTTTAATTTTATCTTTTGGCCTACATTATTGTTTTTAATTTTTTAATTTTTTTTTCTGAATTGTACAGACAGTTTTATCATTAATTTATACTATAAAAATAAAATAATAAAAATAAATATTAGCATTAGATATTTATTTCAAATGAGAAAAGCTAGTTTGACCGAATTTTTAATATCATCTCAAAAGTTCGGTCACTATAGGCATTCTTAATTGCACCGCGCTGAAATTATTCGCTTGCAAATAAAAATTTTAAAATCGTGCATTTAAGCATTAAAATTTTAATTCAATTATTCGTTTAATTCAATTTTTTTTTAATTGAGTTAAATGATTTTGTTTCATAATAGAGAAATTATCAAAATGAAATACAAATTTTGTATTTCATTTCGAGGGGTATTTTTATGCAACAAAATCTTAATTATTTATATAAACATTTACTTTGTAAACATTTTGTTTTGTAAAATCTTATCTTGACTGGATGTATTTTGTACACGAAATTCTTTTTAACATTTAAAGAAATTAAGCGGTTCTCGCTGACAAAATCGTATGATCTTATGCGACTAATCGTATGATCTTATAATAAAGTTAACTTTATAAAAATTTATAATTAAACTTATATTTTTTATTTATATGTATATAAAAAATGGTCTCTAAAATTAATAAAACATCCAGGATGCTTCTGGTGGAGATGAAGAGGCTCCAATTTACTTTTATTAACACTACCCTAAGCCCAGAGACGTCGTGACAGGTTAGACCAAGTGTAAAGAGGTCTGTCTAACCGCATTCGCATAGTTTATGTGGCGATGAATAAACTAGTGTTACATCTGAAGTATGTTTACTTAGCATACATCTTACTTTGAATAGTATTCTTATACTTTGAAAAATTATGCAAAAAAAGTTTTTAATATGTTTTTTCACACAAGATTTCTATTAATAGGAACACCCTAAATATTTGTTACTGTTTTAATTTAAACGTTATCTATAAAAAGAAGAGGTAATTCAATTAAAAATAAACATTTTTTGAAGGACGGATAAAATAAGGCCATTCGTTTCTTTAATATTATAAGAACGTTTGTTTGATTTAAACCATTTTGAAATTTATAAAAATTATGGGTGGGTTGGGTAGCGGGTTGCATGAAGTCAAAGGGATTTTTTCGTTCCCAGCCTCCAATAATTGTAATTTTTTTACTAAGCCTCATTATTTGACATAAATATAAATATACAAATGTTTGGAGTTTGCTCCATGTCTGGTAGTTATCTTAAACACCAAAATATCCAGGATCCGTCACTATTAATGACTGTTTTGTTAAATGCTATTTGCATATAATACAATTTTATTTTTCATTTAATAAAGAATTTTTGATGATTTTTTTTTGTTCAAGCATTTAGCAATTCACTTTCATAAGTAGTGCAAATATACTATTACCAGCTAAAAGAGGACCGTTACATGCATTTAAAAAAATCTTTTATAAAAAATACATTTTAAATTTTGTTTTTAAAAATTTTTTTTGGTACATTAACAATAAAGTGTTGTTTTTCACAACAATCATAAAGTAAAATAAACAGGTTTTAACTTGTAAAAAATATAAAATAGATAAGGGGAAAGGATTATTTATAAAAAGATTTTAATAAAGAAATGTATTGAGTGAAACTTATTGAAAAGAAAAATTTATAAAATTAATCTCAAAAATTAAATTTTTAAATTAATTCTTCTCTTTTTACAACTTTTTTTAAATTACTAAACTGTTTTACAAATTCTTAAAATGATTTGTTTACCGGTCAAAGACGCCTTGATTGCGTCAAAGCCTTTTAGATTGAAATTGAAAAAATAATTGAAAAAATAATAATTGGCTCCCGTTTTTCTGATTAGTGACAAGAATAACAGCAAGATTTTATAAAATAAAAAATGCAATAAAGTAATGGAGCCTGTTTAAAACATTATGATTTTATTCTATTACAAACAATTTTTTAATGATAAAAATTATTGTTGTATATAGATTTTCTTTTGAATAAAAAATTTAAACTTATTCAAGTTTTTGTAATAATAAACTTCTCGAGCGAAAAAACAAAATAAAATTTATGTCCACAAAGTTATAAAAGACTGATAACAAAAAAGAAATTTAGCTTAGACATAAGCTGTTCAATATCGTACTTTTGACCCAGACTTAAACTTAATATCTGCACAGTTGCCGCTTTTTGACCCGAGTGGGCATTAAATCAAAGACTTTTTATGCCGAGGTCAATTCTTGTCTTATCTTTTTATTCTCTTTTGTCTCACAGCTTCTAATATGCTCATAAACATATTTATTACAAAGATTCGGAATTTTTAAACATTTTTATTGCTTTCTTCCCCGACTGACATTGGATATCAGAAATAAAAGAGACAAAAATGCTCAGTTTATGAGATCACATATTGAAGACTTTTTATTTGTTATATTTATTGTATTAAAATTATTTGTTAAATATTATACGCTATTTGTTATTATTATTGAAAAAAAAAGATGGTTTTTAGTTATTTCTTAAAGATATCCTGAAGGTTGTTCTTTATTTATTATTATTTTTTTTTGAATAACAGTTATTCGGATAACATTGAAGATCATCTTGAAGTGTTTTTTATCAAAACAATGATATTTGTTTTTATTGTTATATATATATATATATATATATATATATATATATATATATATATATATATATATATATATATATATATATATATATATGTAGCATTTATACAACTTTATGAAATAGTAATTGTTTGAAATATATTAATACACATTAATACACAGGAGAAGACGTTCATTAATTTCCTAAAACTTTTCCCACCCACCCTATTAAGAACTTCTTGCGAACCTCACACCCGTTTATTAATTCTTACTTATGATCAAAAAAGAAACTATATCTCAAAACTAAAAGAAAAAATTTATGTTTAAACCGGCCTTAAAAATTTAAAAATGTAGACTCACTGATAAAAATAAAAAACTCTAGCTACCCATTTTTCCCACCATACCCCACTTAACTTCTATTAAGCATCTAAAAGTAATTAGAATCAAATATTTGAGAATGAATAAATGAATGAATGCTAAATTTTTTAGCTTCCATAAACTCATTCTTTAAAATTTTCCCAATTTGAATATCGATTTTCCAACTTAAGTAGTCTGGAAACCTTATTTATTTTTAAAGATAAAAATTAACTGAGCTAGAAATAGTAATGTATGTTAGAAATATAAATTTCTCATTATCTTTCTAGAGAATTAATTTAATAAAATTATTAAAATAAAAGAATGTCTTAAATTTAATAAAAACATACCTTTCTCTTATTTGCATTTATCTTCAACACAATCAACCTAGCCTAAACTAAAAATAAATAAAAGAATTTTGAAAAATGATCATTTTTTCCAACCTGAAGATTACTAATATCTGAACACAAAGAGTCTACAACAAGTTTAGTTATCGGTTTTAGGAATAAAATGCAGAATTTGTACATTTTAACATTAAAGTTTGGTAAAAAATCTCACTTAATGCTTTGAATTGTTTTTCAGCCACATTTAAATATTCAGTATAACAAAAATATTTTTATTAACAAGCATGCAATCAAATGTTGCATGCAAGCATGCAAGAAAATACGCACAATCTTGAAGCTTTCATTTAAACCAGCATTAACTTTGAAATATCTGAAGAATTTTCATAAATTACAAGTTTATATTAAAGAAGAGTTGAAGTAATAACAAGCGACATGATCCGTTCTAAGATCGCCAAGCTGATCATGACAAACCTCCAATTGTTGGTTAAGTTTATCAGTAGCAGCCTGAAAACTTCAGAAAAAACTGAGCTCTACATCGGTTATCAATTGTTTTTTCCTCATTTTGTTCTTAAACTCATTAAACGTTGTCATTGTTTAAGTTCATTGTTAATATTTCATTCCATAATTTTGTCCCTCTAGTAGAAATTAAAAATTAAGTTGCTGCAAAATATTTTTTTGGGCTTAGTGTATCTGTTATTTGAGAATCCGGTTAGATACCTGTTCTAATTTATTTGGAATAGCAGATAAAATATTTTAGCGATTTTTATTCATTTTAAACATAAATATAAGAAGATGGTAGATAGTTATATAGTATACATTTATTTTATTTGACTTAATAAATTGTGCTTGGAAATGTGTAAAACGGCCTTCATTGGATTCTGACCGCATGCTTTTATTTATGAAATAGTTTTTCTACTTTATTTTTATTGATACTGCACCAAGCAACGTATGCGTAATTTAAGATGACAATGAATGAATATCATATAAATACCTATTTATAGCAAAAATAGAAAAACAAATAGTTGTTTCTATTCCATAACTTGATAAGTAAGCAGTAGATAGAGCAATAAAACAGCAAAATTTAATTTTTTAATTTTCATTCATTGCTAATCTTAAAGTAGATCATACAGTAATGCAGTATAAGTAGCGAATAACTTACTGAACAGCTCACAATTTACCAATTTTGTCTTAAAATGATTGCATTGATTTCGATTGAAATAAACTCGACCTATTAATGAATGCAAGATTTCTCCTGCACTAATTAACAGATCTTCTTCATAAACCAACTACTTGCAAACCTTAATAAAACTCTCTCTAAAGCTACTCACAACTACACAAGCTATTCACTATTCACAATTACACAATTGGCATCATAAATAACATTTTTTATTTATGACGACATTTTATTTATGATAAACGGCAGAATTCCAAATGAAAAAAACCTAAATATTTGACTTAATTTTCAATATTTTTTATGTTCTACAGCTAATTTCTGAGTAGGCTAAATGACCACTTGATTTCACAATATTTAGGCACTTTTTAACTTTCTTGTCTCAGAGACTATTAAAATAGGCATCTAGTTCTGAGATGAGGCGAAATTCATGAAAAACCAATTTTGTGAACTTTTATAATGCAATTATTTAAAATAATTAAAACTGTTTAAAACAATGCAAATATTTAAAGAATCTATATAGTGCATTGAAGTTTCAAAGAGTATTAGTATTTTATACAAAACAAAAAGCGTATTAAACAAACATACTTCAAATTATTCAATTGTATTACGCTCTAATTCATTGCATGGCCGTTGTGAAGTGTTAAAAATAATTGTAAACACATCGATTTTGCGCTATCACAAATAATTTTAAACGCACCGACTCTACGCTTTTGCAAATAATTGTAAACGCACCGTTTCTACACATCGTATTTATGCGTTTTTTAGTTTCCAAATTAGATTAAAAAGAAGTTTGTTATAATTGTAGTAGCATTACATAATAATTTTTTCTATGACTTACTTCAGTGACATGTTTTTAAAACGGTTAAAAGAAAGATTTTAGGGGGCAGATACAAATTACACTATTACTTCTTCCAATACAATAACTGATGTTTCATCAACTTCTCTTAGCCCTACCTCTACTGCTAAGAATGCATCTTTTGTTAGCCCTGTAACTACTGCTATTACTGTATTTTTATTAGATACTAATTCAACTTTTAGTGGTTTTGCAGTACTCTAACTACTGCATCTCTTGCTAATCCTAGGGATGACAACGCGGTTTTTAAAGCGAGGTTAACAATTGTCAATTTCTAAGAATTATCGACCCTGGATTCAGTTACTAATGCTGCTAAATCCTCTTCACAATGTTTGTTTACCATTTCTTATTTTCTATAACCTTTCGCATCTTGTACACACTTGAAAATATTATGTTTGAAACCCGTATTTTACTTTATACCACAAAAGCAATTTTAAATAATAAATTACCACAAAAACTTTATGTAATATTAGGAAAAAATACAAGAAAAAGATAAAAATTGATGATGCAAATTTGTTGAGTAACTTAGCTTATATAGAAATGTTCAAAACACTATTAATATTTTAAGTATGATTGTAAGTAACTTAAGTAATATTATAAGTAACTTAAGTAAGATTTTAAGTAACTTAAGTAATTTCACAAATTCTGAAAAAGATCTTGGAATTCTAATCTCCGAAAATCTTAAATATGCTCAACAGTGCAATATAGCTGCAAACAAAGCAAATAATATACTTGGAGTTCTTAAACACACGTTTGTATCAAGAGACATTGACATTTGGAAAAAAATTTATACTGCGTATATTAGACCACACCTGGAGTTTGCCATACAAGCCTGGAACCCTTACCTTGATAGTGACATAAAAAAAAATTGAAAAGGTACAACGCAACGCAACGAAAGTTCCTCGCGCTTTGAAAAATAAAGACAACAAAACTCGATGTAAAATCATGAAATTAACTACTCTTGAAGACAGACGGAAAAGAGGCGATCTTATTCAAAAATATAAGCTTCTCAACAATTTAAACCTTTTTTTTTTTTTTTTTTAAATTTTTGCCGTTTAATATTACAATAACTAAATATATTTTACAATTTTTTACATTAGTAACGACAGGACTTCTAGAAGATCATGAGGATCTTGTCATGAAGCCCTTTACAATATATGGTTAACTTTGAATAAAAATACAATGTCTGTAGTGAAATAATAATACACCTCTATGCAAAAATATTTAAAAACCAAGATAAAATGTTAAAAAGCCAAGATAAAATTTCAAACCAAATAATATACAAAATAAAACAACAACAAAAACAAAACAAAAAAAAAGGCAATTAAAAATAAATCAAGATATTTTCAATTAAAAATATAATTTTTTTAAGTTTCTGTTTGAATGAAGCAAAAGTCATTTGGGTTGAAAAATCAAAATTTGGTAAGACTATTTTGTTCCAGAGATAAGGACCTCGGTAAGAAATAAAAAACTGGTCTTTGCTTTTACGACAAAAAGGGGCAATAAGACTGTTATTAATTCAAAAATTATATTTGTTTTTAGGTTTCATACAATAAAAATTTTGTTAAACATTTGGCGACAAATTTTCTCTACATTTAAACATGAAACATAAAATAATAAAGACATTTAGTTAATATACATTTAAAATATTCATTTCTTTAAAAAGTTGTTTCGTGTGAAAAAACCGATTTTTAAAATTTATTACGCGAGTTGGGTGTTTCTGATGAAGGTAAAGAGATTTTAGCTTTGTTCTGTGAGTGCTTCCCCAAAAAGTGCTTCCCCATCTGTTGTTTTGTGTGAAAAAACCGATTTTTAAAATTTGTTTCGTGTGAAAAAAACGATTTTTAAAATTTATTACGCGAGTTGCGTGTTTCTGATGAAAGTAAAGAGATTTTAGCTTTGTTCTGTGAGTGCTTCCCCATTGTGAGTGCTTCCCCAAAAGTGCTTCCCCATCTGTGAGTGTTTCCCCAAACCTAATTGATTGGCACGTAATGCCTGGCAGCATAGCACCTAGAGCTCAACATTGAATCAGATTTCATCGCGAGATTGTCAGGAACTGCGAAATCAGACATAAGTTTTTTAACAACCGTGTAGCCAATGACTGGAATGCTTTGCCAGATAATGTCATCGAGGCAACATCACTTGATAAATTTAAACAACTACTAGACAGTTTTCAGTCATCATAGTTGCTACAACTCATCATTTACCATAAATGCCACACAAAAGTGGCCAAATTACGAGTTGGGTATAGATGCGTATACTCAGCTGATGATGAGTTTAACAAGGCTGTGGCTTTGTGTAACTTAAATTAACGAACTAATATTGTAAGTAACTTAAGTAAGATTGTAAGTAACTTTAGTAAGAATGTAAGTAACTTAAGTAATATTGTAAGTAACTTAAGTAAGATTTTAAGTAACTTAAGTAAAATTGTAACTTCAATTCTTTTAAACAAAATCTTCAAAAACTTTTTTTTTTGATTGAAAATATATTGATTTACTTTTAAAACAAAAATTTTTTTATCTTCGTATAAGAATATTAAGTATGAAAAGTGTAAAAAAAAAAGTTATAAATTTTCTTTTCTTTATACTATATAAAAACGAGAAAAAACAACTTTTCATAAATATCTAAGACGGAGATTTTTCAAAATAAACTCAGCCTTTAGCCATTTCGTTAAATTTATAGTAAAATGATGGTTTTCTTCATTTATAAATTTAAACTTTTAATGAGTTTTAATTATTGTTTCTTGAATAGTTAAATACATATATTAAATAAAATATAAATTTGTTAAGTAACTTAAAGTTTTTTAAGTGAGATTTATCAAGTCATAAATAATTTACAAATATAAGTAAATAAGTATACTAAACTGCAGGGCCGGCGCTAGTATTTTTTGGTTTTTGAGATAGCTAACTTCCAGACATAGAGCAAACTCCAAACATATATATATTTATACTTATGTCAAATAAGTATGCTTTGCAAAAAATTGCGATAATTTGAGCTTGGAAACAACATAGCCCCAAAATTTTTGCCTAGTCTGCCCCAAACGTGAGAGCAACAAGTTGATAAAATATTTTTTGTACTATTTTCAACTAGACTAATATTCATCGATAAATTTTAATTTTTATAGTATAATTTCTTAGTGTTCAAAAATTATAACAATATAAAATTTGAGGGGGGTTTAAACATTATATAGTCATAATTTTTGAACGCTAAAGTATTTTACTATACAACTTAAAATTTATCGATGAATATTAGTCTAGTTGAAAATAGTACAAAAAATATTTTATTAACTTGTTGCTCTCACGTTTGGGGCAGACTAGGCAAAAATTTTGGGGCTATGTTGTTTCCAAGCTCCAATTATCGCAATTTTTTGCAAAGCATACTTATTTGACATAAGTATAAATATATATGTTTGGATTTTGCTCCATGTCTGGAAGTTAGCTATCTCAAAAACCAAAAAATACTAGCGCCGGCCCTGCTAAACTGCATACTAATTTTTAGTATACCAAATATACGGTAAAGTATGCCGTAAAATTAGTAACCAAATACTGTAACCGGCAATTCCTATTTAATTACCGCCATTTTTAAAAAATGTGGGTTTGTTTACATTTTAACAAGCACAGTCTCGTTTCAAGGAGTGTTTAATGAAAAGCTCTATTGTTTAAGCTGTTTAATTTTAGCGGTTCTGAGATACAAGACTTGACGGCCTTCTTCGAGTTTCTGCGTTTTTAATTACTGTTATTACGAAGTTTATTTTTGTATCTTTCATAAAACAGACTTACAAAAGTAGGTCAACCAGAAAGTAATATTTTATATTGTTTTCAGAAAAGATGATAAGGGAAGACACTTTAGCCTAGTATAATACAAAGAAAAATTGTTGAAAGGTGAGAAGAGAAATATATTTGTCACTAGTTGATTTATTCTACACAAGTTAACATTATGTTTTGTGTTGCGTGCTGGCTTTTCAGAAATAGAACAGTCTCTGCTTGGAGCCAGGAACGGATCCAGCATTTTTTGGTGTTCGAGATTAACTTGAAGTTAACTTCTAGACATAGAAAAATAGCTAAAAATTTCAATAATTAGATAAAATTTCGATATTTAAAAGTGATGAATGCAACGTATTTTTTTCTGTAACAAACTACACAAGTAGACGTTAATCAAGTCAATTATCTTTGCGATATGTTTCAGTCGAGATTGAGTTGAAAGATTTTTTCATTTCTTAGAACTATCCATTGCAAATGCTATAAACCTATTTTAACCTTCTCAGGTCACCTTTTCATGACCTTGGTATCCCAGTAGAATTTTATTATGATTAATTTTGTCATTCCATAGCGAAAATGCCATATTTGTTAAAACGTCTGGTCTTCAGAAAAGGCTCCAATACGTTGCACCGAATGCTTTGTTTACAACTTTAGAAATTATCTACACGTTTTTGTATAGCACTTTGTCTAGGTTTATGTTACTCAAAGAAGTTTTTTATTGGAATTATGAAGATTAGTTTGTCAGTCTCCTCAGAAAACATTTGCTCCCAGAAGTCCTTACGGTCTTATCACAGAGCACCGCGAAAGAGCATTTAACTAGAAAGTTCACTCCTCCTTCTATACCAATGTCGCTTATTGGGTTATAACCAATGTCGCTTATTGGGTTATAGCCAATGTCGCTTATTGGGTTATAGCCAATGTCGCTTATTGGGTTATAGTTCGTTGAACTTCGGACCTCCGGGTTATGAACCATAACTCCAACCAATGAGCCACAGCTGCGTGCACATAATATTGATCACTGATCAATATTATATGTACAATTCGGTTTACTAACACATCTGACACAAAAATAAAAAAATAGCTGTTAATTATTTAATAAAAATAGAATGAGTTGAAGAGGATTGGGATTACATGGGTTAATTACCAACCGTGTGGTCAAACCATAGAGCACTTTTACCCAAAACGCGGCGAGTTCAACAAATCTAAATAACTTCAAACACAAACTATTTTTACAATAGCACCTAAACTGTGATTTGACTTTGTTTTTGTTAAGAAGCGACCTGGCTGCCGCTCTTCATCAATAAGTTGTCAATTTTATTGATTGTAAAAAAATAAAGATAAGATTTAAAATTATCACATACCAGTTGGTGCAAACTTTAAAAACGATAATGTATTATTAAGTTCAAAATTTATAGAAATTTTGTTTTTATTTCATTTTTGCAACAATTTTAAGCCAAAAGCTTAAAATTATTTTAAGCTGGCAGCAAATTATAGTTTAGTATTATTTTAAGCAAATTATAATCTGAACAACAAACTAAAGCAGTTTCCAACTTTTTTTCAAAGTAAAAAAATCCCCTGAAATCTTTTTTGAACTTTTTTTCTAAAAATTAAATTTTCTTTATATATTGTTACAAATTAAAAAAAAGAAAACATTAATTTCATAAAAATTTCCATAACAAATACTATGAGCCAACTAGCCCCGTGAAAATTTTTCCAACTTACTCAAAAGTTTTTTTTTTCAAGTTGTTCCTGGTCTAAGTTATTGTAATAAGTAACTTAACTTTAGATCAGTTCTTTTGTTGATTTTGTGCAATCATAGTTGACAGTTATAGTGCATTTACATAAATAAAGGACAATATAATAATAATAATAATAATAATAATAATAATAATAATAATAATAATAATAATAATAATAATAGTAATAATAATAATAATAATAATAATAATAATAATAATAATAATAGCAATAATAATAATAATAATAGCAATAATAATAATAACAAGAAAAATGCAATTAATAACAATGAGTGTTGGTAAGCTGCAGTGTAAAAGCAAAGAGCTATTAGGCTAAAAGATTCTACATTTTTAACTCTTTAGCACAATTTTTGTCATTTTGAATACAACGCATAAACTACATAAAAATATTTACAACCTGAATTATACAGTTCCAATCAATTTTTCAAAGTTTTATATTAGGTATATAAGGTTCATAAAATAACACAAAATGTCATCTATCAATAGGATCTTAGTTTCGGATAGGTACTAGCAATATCCATTCTTTCTGTTTAATGGCTATCATTAGTGATATACAGCTGTTAAAACGAGGTAGAAAAGAAAAGGTTTTCTATTTGTTAACAACTAATAGTTGTTGGGTTATAGGAACAAATCAAATCGCTCAATAAATTTAAGTACTGTTTGCAACATTGCATCGGAGTTACAATTTTTTTTTTTTTTTTTTTCAAAATCTACAGTATTTTGAACCATCTGAATAACTTGCAACATAAAAATTTATAGAGCTTAACTTTATTTAAAAAACAATAGTTTAGAATAGTTTGCCAAGATTCTTCAATAAACTTATTATTTTACTTATATTTGCTGTTTATATTTACATCAAATTTTATTTTAAAATAAATAAACTAGATTAACAGGGTTGTATGATAAAACCTTAGTAGTCATATAAAAAAAACAGTTAAAAATTAATATAAATAAATAAAGATAAAAAAAAAAAAAAAGTAATAAAAATTTCTTTGTTTACTATGTTACCTTATGTTATTGTTAAACTGGGTAACTTTTGTAAGGAGGTAATTATTGTAAAACCGGGTAACTTTTGAAAAAAACTTTCCTTTTCTTAGTTTGAAGCACTAATAAATCCAAAAATAGCAGTTTGTAAGTACTTTTTTAAATAACTACAATAAAAAAGGTGAAACATTTCAAATAAAATACAGTTAAAAGCAAAGTTTACTTTAAACTTATTTATATAAATGCAAACACCACTTATGTTAACTCAAACATCACGTTTGTTAACTTAAACATAGGTTATGAAGTTTCATTTGAAACTAAAACTTTTTGTAAGTGGTATTCATAATCTTCAAACTTTTTTTTTTTCTCATGTGTTGTATCACCTTATCTATTTTACTTAATATTTTTCTGACTTAATAAAAATATAATGACAAAAAAGGACAAATTTTATAGGAAAAATTCCTTGATTCATATACAATGGAAGCCATTAGTGTTTTGTTAAATTTTTAAAATCTCACTAAAGCTGTTGACGAGGGTTTGATCAATAAGTCTTCATGTTATTTACAAGAAAAGTATCGAATACCTCAATAAATAGTTAATCAAAAAGTAAATAAGTCTTAATGTTATTTACAAGAAAAGTATAGAATACTTTAATAAATCAAAAATACTAAAAATGTTATGATTGACAATCTCAATTTTAGAAAGTGAAACTAAAAATATTCGTTTTTATTAATAAATGATTTAATTTCGTAATAATTAGTTTGCAAAAGAGTCAGCCAAGAATTTACTGTATTAATAAAAACGTGTTTTTTTGCCAGGATGATATTAAAATGTAAGCAATAATAAGTTGCAATAAGTTAGAGTTTTTAAATATTTATTAACCGAATGTGTTACCGCAAAATGTTAAACCTAAAGGTATATTCAATTGCGACGAAGTCCTTTTTTATTTGGTTTACACTTGTTAGTTGTTGTACGCAAAACAATATTTTATAATTCATTACAAGCAATCTTGTTCTTAATTCTTTTATGAAACCCTTTGATAAGATGTTCACATAATGGTCACAAGTTTGGAGACACACAATTTTACAATTGTTGATTTTTTTAAAATGAAAACTTTAAATCTTTGTATAAACAACTATTGCCTGAACAGGCACAGGCATATATATATATATATATATATATATATATATATATATATATATATATATATATATATATATATATATATATATATATATATCTTATACTGCTGAGTTAGGTGAGCATGATGACGTCATACTGAAATAGCCTGCTGCGGGGGCTTTAGTACATACATCAACTGACAAATAGCCTAACTTGCAATGGAGTGCTGCTACATCGACTGAGGGTTTGGTATGGGTTAGCAACCTTTTCATTCATTATTCTTTGTTTTCCCTCATCGTTTTCTAAAAACCCTCACTTAATTTAGGCTAGCAAAAAAATAGAGCAATTGCGCATATAAATATGCTATAGTAGATACAAATATATATATATATATATATATATATATATATATATATATATATATATATATATATATATATATATATATATATATATATATATTATATATATGTATAAATATATATATATATATATATATATATATATATATTTTATATATATATATATATATATATATATATATATATATATATATATATATATATATATATATATATATATATATATATATATATATATATATATATATATATATATTATAGACATAAGCGCGAAAAGATGCGGTAGGGGGCTTTTGTTGGAAAGATGGGTAAAACATTCGGACGTCATTAGTACCTTTTTTGATTTTAAATTGCATGGAGACTAGTTGTTACGTACTCTTCTTTACTCAGCCATCTCATTTGTAATAAGTTTCAGCGCTCTTTAGATTTGAGTTTATTGTGTAGTGTTTGAGTGCTACAAGAGTTTATTGTGTAGTGAAAGTATACTTTCACAGTGAATAACACTTACCTCTTCCACTTAGTAAGGTTTTTACTATGTAGTGGTTGGCACATAAAACACATCTTAATATCAAATCAAAAAATTTTAATTTTTGGCACTTTGCCCAGATTTTTTATTCAGTTTTCAATTATTAGAAGATAAAAAAGTTGATAAAAAATTGTAATGATTGAAATTTACAAAGAAAAAGAATTCGTTTTTTCAGCCTTTCAAAATTTTCTTTCCTTTCAAAATTTCCTTTCAAGGATTTTTTAATGGTATATACAAAATACTAGTGGTTTAACTTCAGAGATAAAAAGTCTATTCACTATATTGTGTCTTTAGTTCTAATGTCACTATATGTGTCTATCCTATCCTATATTATTTTAAAGGTGAGTTTTCCGTTCATCCGGTTTTTCACGAGAACAGAAAGGGAAGGAAAAAATAATCAAGTTTTACAGTTTTACTTTTACTTAAAAATTGCATTGCGGCAACATGTCCTCAATTTTGATTTATAGCCGTTTTATAAAGTCTTTTGTTTATTAAATAATATTAAATTGTTTATCGAACAATACACCTTCATGGCCAAAATGGTTAGTTTGTAGCGTTTCTGAAGTAAATCGCCATGGTTCAAATCAATGCAAGTGTACATTTGTTTAAAACTTTTTTGGTATTTTAGAATACAAAATAAATAACATTTTTGTAGGGCTATAGGTATTATGTATAATATACATAACATATATAACGATATTATATACTGTAACAAACAAAACGGAGAGAATTCTTTTAAAAAGCCTTAAATTTTTAAAAACATTAAAACACCAACAGAAATTTGTAGCGCATATGTCATGATAGAGATACTTATGTTATTAATGTGCTCAGGTTATTAGTCCTAATAAGCTGCGAATAGTCTGAAAAAATATTATGGTCTGAAATTTAATAAAGAAAAAATTTAGTAAGCCCGTTCTGCTACTCTAGAAGGTACTACTGTGGAGACTAAAAACCAGTGGCGGATTAAGACTTCTTGGGGCCCGGGGCTATTTTTGTTTTTGGAGGCCTTTTTATGGGCCAGAGCCTAAAAATGCGTAAAAAAAAAAAAAAAAAAAAAAGTCCTCTAAAACTTTAGAGGGCCCCTAAATTTGCGAGGCCCGTGGCTTTAGCCCCCTTGATCCGGCACTGCTAAAACCAACAACAAAATTACCAGTAGCTAGCAAAAACTTTAAAATTTTATTTTAACAATTAAATTTTAAAGTTTTTATTTGGTATATTAATTTTTTTTGCTATAAATATGGACGGCAAGAAAGAAAAAATTCAAAACTTTATCACGCTAAGGGGAGGACTTGAACCCCCGAAACGACACTGATGGCAGCGCACTAAACCACTGAGTTATCGTTGATATGCGTTTAATAGGAAAAAAAACCATTTTACAAATCTCTTAAAAGCATATATATGCGGAAAAGATGAAAATGTTAATTTTTTTTTGCTCTTAAAGCAACTTTTCGAGGAACTATTTTTCTACCGTTGACTAAAAAATATTGGGGTAAATAAGAAATAATTATAGAAACAATCGGGGTGGAATAGATAAATATAGAAATGGTCGGTTTGATAGATATTCGTTCTGGACAGCTAGAATATATATATATATATATATATATATATATATATATATATATATATATATATATATATATATATATATATATATATATATATATATATATATATGTATATATATATATATATATATATATATATATATATATATATATATATATATATATATATATATATATATATATATATATATATATATATATATATATATATATTTAAGGAAAGGGTATAGAAAAGGTCGGTGTGGAATAAACTTGCCAAGACTGGTATTTATACGATTTCAGTCAGTTAATTTAACTTATTATACTTATCTTTACTAAACTGATTTAATTTTACTTGTATTTTTATGATTTCTATTAATAATATTGTTATTAATTTATTAATTGATATTATGATTTTTATTATTAATATAAATGAATATGAAATGAGTAAGATTTTCATGTTTTTCAATATCAAAGAAAATTAAAAAGCTTTCAATATCAAAGAAAATTAAAAAGCTTTATTTGAATACCGCCATTTTTAAAAAACGTTATTTTTACAACCAAAGCCTCGTTTCAAGAAGTATTTAATGAAAGTGCCAATAAAATATTTAGACCCGCTAAAGAATTACTTTTTGAATTTTTTTTAAATTTTTTATTTATTTATATAATTTTTGACGATTTTCCGAATGTTTTGCGTAAATTGTTTTTATTTTTAATAAAGTTATATGAACTTCAATTTTTAAAAATAATCTGAAATAGTTTATTATTATTTGGGTTATTTTTTATAACGAATAAAGAAATTATTAGCTTGAATGGATTCAGATTTGCTGTAGTTTACATTACAATGTATTTCTGCCTTTAATTTTGTTAATTACCAACTCAGTTTTGCATACTTACTTGTCTTATCGTTAGTGCAAGTTCATTCAAATTCGGCATTATAACTCGAAAATTTTAATCTTTTGAATTTGAAATCAATTAAACTTGACAGAACTAAAAATATAAGTTGGTGTATTTGATCTATCCTTATAAAAAAAAATACACACACACACACACACACACACACACACACACACACACACACACACACACACACACACACACACACACACACATACACACACACATGCATACACGCACACACAGACACACACATGCACACATACATGCACACACACACCAACAAATCAACTCACTAGCATTCCAGAATGTCAGATTATACATTTAGTTAAAACAACACTGTTATGTTTTTGCATTTATTGCTTTAAGATTTAGCCTATATATATATATATATATATATATATATATATATATATATATATATATATATATATATATATATATATATATATATATATATATATGTATATATATATATATATATATATATATATATATATATATATATATATATATATATATATATATATATCATATATATATATATTATATATATATATATATATATATATATATATATATATATATATATATATATATATATATATATATATATATATATATATATATATATATCATGCAAAGCATTTACTTTTATATTAGTTTGCATTTGTTTTACAGTTAGATTTCACGATAAATTGCAATGGCGAGTAGCGCTCCAGAAAAAGATAATACTTTAGAGGTGAAATCTGCTATTGCTAAGAAGTATGATTCTGTTGTTGAAAAAAATGTTTTGACATGGATCAGTGGTTAGTTAATTTTTTTAGGTTATTTTTAAACATAAAAACAGGTTTGATTTTCTTAATAAGCTATACAGGTGTATTTATTGTCTAATCCTGGTAATTTTTATAATTATCTAGAGAAATATATATTTTTGAAAGTTGTTTTTACAGAACAAACTAACAACTTGTATAAGTTTAAACTTTTATTTAAAAAGTATAAGATTTATTTTTCAGGGTTTTTGTTATACAAAATTATTTATAATTAAATGAGGATCTCCTTATTTGTAAAAGTTAAAGAGATCCTAATCTTATATAAAGTACTTTTATTACAGAAAAAAAAGTTATTAGAATATAGCCTCATTTACCCTACTTGTCTGACTGATCCAATCGCTAAGTAGCAGCTTGTACAATTAAAGATTTGACATCAAGAAGTCACTTTAAAAGCACCTGTCTAATTTGCCGTACTTTGAGTTCTACATCAATGGGATTTGTTCTTTGCTTTAGTATAAGAAAGTTGTCATATAATATTATGATGCATATATCATTAAAAATTAGTATTTAACAATATATTTAATTAAAGGTAAAATTCTTCTGAAAAGCATACTACATTTAATCCAACCAAATAGTTCATAAAACCTATCAGATTTTTTTAAGTAATTTGAGAAAATTCCCAAAGTTACTGGAAATAAATAAGTATTGCCCACCATGCTAAGATTGAAAAGACACAAACTTAGGCTTCATTTTGTCCACTGCTAGGTTTGACAAAAAACTGGTGCCAGATTAATTTAAAAAAAAATTTTTTCTTTGTTATTCACCTCCCCAAGGTTGAGGGGGTCACTTCAGTTAAGGAGGTTTTTTTTTGTTTTTTTTATTTGGAATTAGGGTTAATTTAATGTTGGTGTAATTTAATAATTTTTTTGTAAAGCAAAAAGTAAAGTGCAAATTAGTTAAAATTTACAAAAAGAAATCATCTTATAACTTTATCATTAAGATTTTCGTTTTAATGAAAAAGTTTCACCTGTATTTAATATATAATAGATTTCTAAAAATATTTGTGACAAACTTAAAAAAACTTTTTAACCTATTTACATGTATAGCTCTCAGTAAATAAAAAAATATCTTTTAGATCTCTGTTTTATTGTGACATCTCTATTGTATTCTTAGTATCTAAAAATATTGTTAGTTTAACCTTCTTTTAAAACTAAACAAGAGAGTGCAAATAATGTGAATACATTAAAAAAATGTTTATCAAATCCTATTATAAATTGTTTCTGTTATTTGGGCATCACTAAGTTATTATTATTATTGTTATTAGATGCTGATATTAAAATGGGTGTCATCTATTATCATTTTACTGAACCGTTATTGAATTTTTTCAATATAAAAACATTGAAAAAATACAATAACGGTTGACATTTAATCTTTGACATTAAAAAATTGACCAAAGAGATAAGCTTGCTATCCCTCAATGTATTGAGATTCTAAACATGATCTATCGGTTGTATTAAAATTAAGTCTAGAATAGCTTTAGCTCTATTGTATTTAAAATACATGTTGAAGTATTTAATTTTTTTTTATTTAATATTTCATTTTTGTATTTTTTACAAAAAGTTTTAATTAAAAGACATCAATCAAAGCACTATTTCTATTTTAAATATGTTTAAATTTAAGATCTTACATTCAATTTTGAATTAAACCATTTATACAGGTTTTTTAACCTTGAAATTGAACCAATCAGGTTTTTGAACCTTGAAATTAAACCAATTAAGTTTTGTATTCTCAGCTTTAATTACTTTAATATTTTTCATTTAAACAGACTTTAAATGAAATGTTCTTTTTTAAAGGTGTCCTTAAAAATCCAGATCTGTTTAATGGAGTTAGTGGAGCAGATGCATTGCAAGAAAAACTTAAAAGTGGAGTTATATTGTGCAATCTAATGAATGCAATTAAACCTGGGTGCATAAAGAAATTCAATAGCAATGCAAAAATGCCTTTCCAACAGATGGAAAATATTGGTCTATTTAATGAAGCTATGCGCAATTATGGTGTACAATCTGATTATTTGTTTGTTACAACAGATTTATTTGAAGGAAAAAATATGGTTCAAGTTTTAATTGGGTTACGAGCACTTGGTTCGAAAGCATCATCAGTTGGAATAAAACCTGCAATTGTTGAAAATTGAATTTAAATTAATTTAGAAGCAATTTTTTTTTTAATTTTCATAAGAAAAAATACAAGTTTTTTATATTATTTTAACTATTAAGCATCTTGCGGTACCTTAATTACTGTTTTTTTGTTTTGTTTGTTTAATTTTAATTTTTTTTTTATATTGTTTTATTTATTTTTGTTTAGACTGGGTTTTATTTATTTGCATTAGTTGTTTTAATTTTTATTATGTTTTATAATTGTGATTTTTATAAGTGACGAAGATGACATATGATCTCTAAATAACTTTATTTGTGTAAAAAAAATATATATTACAAAAAAATAGTATGATATTCTACAGTTCTAGTTAATGAGAAGTTTTATTATTTTCCACATAAAACTTCAATTCTATCCATGCATCATTCTTAAGTATCTCTGCTTATAAGTATTATTATGTGACGCCCACATTTATGTGACGCCCGTATTTATAATGTAAAGGCTGTAAATAAAGAGCACATTTACCAAGTATATAAAGTTCAATGTATAGATCTACAATCTGAACGCATTTCTGACCAGAATTTCCTCAAATCAAAAGTATGCGTAACATATTTAGAGTAAAAATAAACATAGGAAATGAGAGATATTTTTGGATTTGCGAATATATTCCGATGCAGCCGTGGCGATATGGTTAGAGTGGCAATATGGTTAGTCGTGGTTAGAGTGCTAATTATAAAAATTTTGCTTTAAACTCATTTTTAGATGTTGAATCTACTACTTCATCTGGTAGCGATTTCCATTTATTTTCAGTTCTCAAATTTTTAACTTTTGAATAAGATTTTGAAGTAAAAAAAAAAATTAGCAGTTTCAAACGTGGAAACGAACTTGAATTTATCAGGTTTAAATTGCTTATAAACAGTTTGCGAGTGTTAAATATAATCGTAATTTAGGAGTTAACTCATATTAGCAAAGTTTGTGTTTCAAGATATTCAAACAAAGTTCAAGATATTCAAAGAAACGTTCAAGATATTCAAACAAAAATTTAAGATATTCAAACAAAGTCCATTTATCCAATCTTTAGACTGGGCCTGCCAACTTAAGTGAAAAAGATAAATAAGAGATTATATTCAAGTTTAGATTATAATCTCTACTGGTATTACTATATTGCTATAGTAACAGTTTTATTTCAAAGTCAAGATGTCTTGTGAAAAATTAAAAAATTTTAATTTAAAAATTTTTAATTAAAATTTAAAAAATTTTAATTTAAAAAAAAAAAAATTTTAATACCATTCAAACTTATTTTTAATTTAGTTATTACGGATGTATAATATAGTTCAGCTCAGAATACTGACATATTGTAGTTGAAATAAAATGCTTTGAAATTTAAAGCCTTTTTATTTTATTCAAATTATTGTTATCTATTGAAAAAACTTCTGAAGTAGAATTGAAAATCATACAAAACTGACTTAAAAATTTGAAAATTACTTCCAAATATTTATATTTCAAAAAAGTGCTTTTGCTCTGAAAGGGTTTCTTGTGTTAAAAAATGAATCAAAAAAGTTTTTTGCACTTAAATGAAAAAACATTAAACCAGTGCTTAAATATTTTGGTTGCGATCCAAAAATTTTTAATTTTTGAGTTGCTAAGTCTGAATAACCAAATAAATCTCTTCTTAAAATAAAACATTAGTATCTCTTCTTAAAATAAAAAAATAGTATCTTCTTAAAACCAAAAAAAATATATCATAATCACTAAAATTGCACAGTGGGCCAGAATTATCTAAAAATGGAAAAACTATTTATGGCTTCTTTTTTTCTCGTAAACAAACTTATTTTTCTTTTCTAAATTAACTCTTGCTTTTACGTAAATAAAAACTTTTTGCAAAAAAAACTAAATACAAATAATTAATATTCTTTTCAGTGAATGATCCAGCTTTTTTTGGTGCTTGAGATAGCTAACTTTCAGACATGGAGCAAACTCCAAACATTTTGTATGTTTATTCTTATGTCAAGTAATGATGTTTTTCAAAAAATTGCTATGATTTGAGGCTGGGAACAAATAAGTCCCACAATTTCGTCACAACACCCTCCCCCCTCCTTTTTCCACCCTACCCAAACGTGAGGGCAACAAGTTAGTAAAATATTGTACTATTCTCAACTAGACTTAAATTCATCTATAAATTTTAAGTTTTACATAATTAGTGGTCGTCTATAAAGTACATACGCTTATTTTTCTTTCAACCCCCCCCCCCACTCCACCCCCTCCCTCCTTCCTTCCATTTTGAAATACGCTTTTTTAAGTACCCTCCACCTCCCTAAAAGTACCTACGCTTTTAACCTATTTATCTAAGATTTTATGATATCTTTTTAATTTAGTGTCTCCTTTCTTTTATAATTGACCCACTGCCCTCCCATTTCACATACGCCATTTGCAGACTCCCTATTCCCCTCCGAGCGTACGCACTTAATGGACGATCACTTATCTCTCAGCGTTCAAAACATCCCTTATCTCTCAGCGTTCAAAAATTATGACTATATAAAGTTTAAACCCTCCTCAACCTGAGGGGGTGACAAATTTTATATTGTAATATTTTTTGAACACTGAAAAATAGTGTAATAAAATTTAAAATTTATCGATGAACTCTAGTCGAAAATAGTACAAAAAATATAGAGAAAGCGGCTAGCATATATATAGTACAAAAAATATAGAGAAAGCGGCCAGCATATATATATATATATATATATATATATATATATATATATATATATATATATATATATATATATATATATGAGTAATTTTTCAACCATCAACTTATTGTTTATTTTGAAGATCAAACATTAATGTATTTAAATCACTTTTAATTTTTATCTAGACTTCTATACAAAAAAAATGACAAGGTTTGATCGAGAAGCCCTCGCAAAACGAATTGTAACGTTCTATGAAAATCGTTCAAGTGATAAAAAGAAATTAACACATACAGTGCTGGCCAAAAAGATCCGACCACGCATTGTTTATCTATGTATACAGTATGTACATTGTAGTGTAGGCGCTTTCCTCGGAATTTCACCATCACGCTTTGCATGCGTGATTGGCTAGTTATCAGCCAATCAAAACAGTTGTACCATTGTTATATATACCATCGCATGCGTAGCTGTGAATTACTATTTGCATTTGACTATGGCGACAACATCACCTGGAAAACGTGCTAAAATACAACTTTTGATGGAAGACGGGAAGTCTGAACGTGCGATTGCCGCACGTTTACAAATGCCTAAGACAACTGTTCACGACGTCATTCAGCACATCAAGTCAACAGGCACCAGCGCTGCAGGAAGATCCAGTGGCAGACCGAGATGTACCACATCAAAAACTGACGCTATGATCCGCCGTGCAGCCACGAAGGACCCACTGGCATCATCTTCACAAATTCTCAATGAACTGCCTCCTGATGTGAATGTGAGCTCTCGCACCATTCGGCGACGTCTTGTGTTTAATTCAATCATATTATCATTAAATTGAAGTGGTATTACGTTTCTGTCTAAAAACCTTAGTGGTCGGATCTTTTTGGCCAGCACTGTAAACATTTTAAAAATGAAGGAATACCAAAGTCAACTATATTTAGTATTCTTGCAAGGTATGAGAAGTATGGTGTGTATAATGATTTGGTTAGATCAGATTGTCCTCCAAAAATGGATAAGAAAAAAGTCAAACGATTGACTAAAATGCTAAATAATTCAACTTGTATTAGTCAAAAGTATTTAGCTTCATATTTTAAGGTGAACCAAAGCACAATTTCAAGAACTATTAATTTCAAAACAGATATTAAATGCTACAAAAAACAAAAAGCACCTTTGTATGAAAAAGATCAACAACAGAGAGCACCAACATCATCGAGAAGATTAGTTAATAAAGTATTCCATGAAAAAGATATAATCATGATTGACGAAAAATATTTTAACCTATCAAACTCAAATATACCTGGAAATGATATATATTATACAAATAATAAATTGTTAGCTCCTGATAATGTAAAATATAAGTTGAAAAAAAAATCGAAGAAAAGGTATTGGTTTGGATTTGCATTTCTTCAAATGGATTTTGTGAACCTTATATACATAGATCAAAGAATTCAATAACATCCAATATATATGTGAAAGAATGTATGAAGAAAAGACTTATACCATTTCTTAGAGAACATCATAAAGATAATAATTTTGTGTTTTGGCCAGATCTTGCAACTGCTCATTATGCTAATAAAACAGAAAACTGGTTTATTTATAATTCCATAGAACTTGTACAAAAATGCACTAATCCACCAAATGTTCCACAGGCTCGACCAATTGAAACATTTTGGGCTATTTTAAGTCAGATGGTATACAGTGATGGTTGGAGAGCATGTAGCATATATCAACTAGTTCGAAGAATAAAGAGCAAATTAAATGAAATAAAAGAAAATGATCCAGATCTGTTACAAAGACTAATGATGAGTGTTAAAACAAAATTTAGAAAAATCCCTGATAGAGGCGTCTATTCAATATGTTAAATATATTAATAAATACTAGAATGAATGTTCTTTATTACCATATAGTTTTATTTTTTTTATCTAACTAACAATATTTTTTTACGACTCTATAAAAAAAGTTCGAAGACTTATGCATAACACGTTATATATATATATATATATATATATATATATATATATATATATATATATATATATATATATATATATATATATATATATATATATATATATATATATATATATATATATATATATATTAGGGTGGTCCTTATAGGAGGTTGAAAATTTATTTTGGAAAAAATTTGGCGGGCGCCCCTCAAAATGTTTCCATTCGGTGTAAAAACACTTGCTTTTAATTATTGTTGAATTTTATTAACATTTAGGGTATGCTCAATTCAAACAAACTTTCGCATATAGCAGTCACTCAGTCTCAGTGTTCAACGCAGTAAAGTGACATGAATGTTTTTCAAATGTAAGATATTTGTATAACATAATGTTCTGAAAGCAACTCACTTAGTCATCTTCCAAACTAAATTATGTCTTCAGGCTTTCCACAACTGCTACTTTGCTTATTTCTGGTAACTTCTTTCTATGCTCAGCCACTACTTGAAGGATGAATTGCGTCTGCTCTTCAGATTTTGTCCGGAGTCCGCTATACTCCTGAATGAGGGCGACACCTCGCTCTGCAGTGTCGTTAGTAACTCGAAGTTTACCAACAAATGTCTGTGCTTCAGTAAAGGCAGGCAGATCACGCCAGATGGCAGGATCTTCATCGAAGAAGCTGGTTGAAATGTTCAGAGCACTAAAGAACTTCTTTGTATTTGTTGTCACGAAGTCAGGTATCTC